GACTTTAGTCTTGGTCCAGAAGTATTAAGAGTTTTAGGTCTTTATTTATGGAAGGTCATTCTTAGCTGAAACTGGCCATAAAGGATTTATGCTTGTTATTAAAGGGGGCTGGTAAACATCTTGTCACAAGATTAAAGAGCATTGTTTTCAACCACACTGTCTAGACCGTTTGACAAAAATGCAGAAGAGCAAAGACCGCAGCCTAGCTTATGTACATGTCAATCTTATAAAATAAACACAAACAAACTAAAACGTCTGTCTAGTTTCAGGCAAAATGGGAACTGCAGTTACCAGAGCTATGCTCAAGGATGAGATTCAACAGAAAAAAAAGTAAAAGTATTAACAGTGGCCGGGGGTTCTCGGATACTCGCAACAACTCAAGGGGGAGCTGTGTGTTCTCGAGGGGATCTTTTGTCTTTAGTTACAGGACGATGTTCTATCCACTTTTCACAGGAAAATAGTTTTAAAAGCATAAATGCTGGTCATTTAAGGATTGAAAAATCAAGAAGAATGTGGTATACTGTTGCAAATGAATAGTAACATGAAGGGACCTGCGGAGAGTTGTCACATGCACGAAAAATGCTGTGAAAGACTCTGTGTTTTTCCTGGGAAAGTCATAAAAAGCTTTTAGTTTGTTTGCTTACCTTGCTTTTGTTGAGGGAAAAAAACCTGGACCCATACTGAAGCATTCTTCCAAGAATATTACCCTTTTTTGCCTCAGGCGGCCTTCCTAGAAAACACTACAGCTAAACAGGCGATCACGAACATCAAACTTGGTCTCACTAAAGGAACTATACCTGCAACAGTTTTGTCTTACAGCAAAAGCCGTTCACTGGGCATAGGTTTAAGCTGTTTGGGTTTCAGTATGTACCTGCTAGATCCTACTATTCCTCAGTTAATGGGATGATGAATATGTTTTCAAAGCAACGAAGTGGAGTCAGATACCAGCCCATGTTTAGTGTTTTTACATTTCAGAATGGATCCAGTGGTGCCTGAACTTTCCACTGATTACTTTCTTCCTAAAAATGTGAAAATATGCTGTTAGAAACCAGTAGCAGAGTGACCACAGACCTGTAAAGATAGTTACCTCTGTAAGATGTAGAGTTAGATAAGGTAAAACAAAAACTTTAAATTATGTGGTCCATCTGGTGGGGTACTCTGAGAACATCTGCTACTATATGAAAGGGGCACTCTGCTTATTGTTCTTGGGAAGCAGTGGTATCGTCAGTGGTATTGCCATCCCGAAGGAACGGGTGACATCTCCATGCAGGAGGGAAGGAAGGGATGCTGTATTGGCTCTTTTTTCCATGGATATCTCACACAGGTGGTAACTGTACCATATTGAGACAACTGAGCCCCAAGAGACAGCAGCACAACAGGAACTGTTACACTTCTTCCTTCCTAACACCAGCAGTGTGACCTGCAAATCAACACAAGACATCTCAGACACTCCATGTTCACAGTACATTTTAGTTAGCACTAGTGATGTTTTTAAAGTTACATATTACATTAATTTTCACTGTTAATTCTTGCTTGTGTTATGTTTGGCTAGGAAAGGAAAATATGTATGGGACTGTGCTTTTGAGCTTCTGGCCGGAGCCATCTGGAACAGGTTATTGCATCGTTCATGTTGTCATGAGATGGCAATTACAGTTCAGACACTGAATGAAGCAAACCTCGGCTGATAGCGTATGGTAGTCCATCTTTGAAAAAGGAGAGGGAACCCTCGCCAAACACCAAGAGTTTGCAATTGGGATTCTGTCCTGGGAGGTGGAAGAAACAAGCCCTACTCTTTTTCAGGCAGAATTAGGGTTTGAGACCAAGTTTCCCATGTGCTTAGTGCTATTCATGTGGCAGTAGGGTGAGATGCATGTAGGTCAAATCGCTGCCTGTCACATGTTATACCAACCTGTGACAATATGAAAAGCTTGCTCATTTGGCAGGCTCCAAGAACACTTAGACCAATCTCCACAGTCAGGCAAAAGCCCAGCTTGTGAATCTCATGGAGCTTAGGGGCTATCAAAACACAATTGTTCCTGCAAATGCCCAGCAGTTGCGCTCTAAGTGTTTTACCAGTTTTGCTGGTAGAAAATTTGGTTCCATAAGGTTTGGTAGGAGCAAAATGGATGTTTTAAGCATCTGAAGCTTGGATATAGGCCCTTAAAGTGTCAATTATTGGCAAAGTCCTTCAGTGAATTCAGGTCTGTATGGCTGTGTAAGACTTGTTGCTTTCAATGACTTTGGGCTCGCACGCCTACCACCATACAGATCTGCGTGATTTGACTCTGCTCCTGCAGTTTGACAATATCCTTAAGAATGTTCAGCAAGGGCGAACTTTAAGAAATGACAAGAACATCTAAGAAGGGCGTTTGGCAGATATAGTTCTGGAGAAGTGTAAATATAATTGCAGATAGAATTAAAAAAGCAGATGAAGTGTTGTGAAAGTTAGTAGATGAGGAGTTATTTTTGTGAAGCAGACTTTTTGTTCAGGAGTGCTGAGTGTAGTTAACTCTTATTGAGTTCCCTGACCTAAATACAGCTTCTGTCTCAGCATTCAGAAGCCACTAGATTATGTTCTCGGGTGCCGAGGGTCCTTGCTAACCGGGTGGTGTGCATTGTCTGCAGGAGCACGGCGTAATTCATACGTTCAGTCGTCTCATCCAAGGAGGGTAGAGTTCAGGTTACACAACATAGCTTGTGCCCCTTATGATTATATATTACACAATTTTTGAAATCCAAAGCTCAAACATAATTAATTAGAGCTATAGTTTCAACCCTAGCTATGTACAAAGCTATAGTAAGTAAGCATGTAAGAACATAGTTACTTAACAGAGCCACGTTTTGTACTGTGGACTGTTCCGCACCTCCTCATGAAGACAAAGAAAACGTCAAGGTAATCTAAATAAACCAGTGGATTTTATACATGGGGGATAGTTGAGGCCACTGAAGTGAGAGTGCTGCTAGACCTGAAGTTTAGCCACCATCCTAAGCATAAATGGCAGAGGTGTCAGCAGATGGTGCAGAAAGATATTTTGAATCGTCCATGTTTTTTTAGGGTGAACAAAAGAGTTTTTATGTACCACAAACATCTTCCTTTATGCAACTCTTCATATCAAAGAGAGTTGTGAGAAGGGTGTGGCTGCATCTCAGTATTTTGTGGCTGATGGTGGTTACAGAAAGGTGCTGCAGAAATTCCGCTTAGCCATGACATCAAATCCTTTTATTTAGGAAAAAAAAAAAGTCACCACACTGTAAACTAGCCCAAGTTGTGGTTTGGTACACTTTTTATATTCTGGTTTTTATCCACTCCAGCTGTCAGATGGAGACAGGAGAAATGAAAACATTTGTACAGTATTCTTTCTTAAGGGAGCCCCTGAGGTGCTCAGGTCTGGATTCACCTCCCGTCTCCAGCGCTGCAGCACCTCTGCCAGTTGGCTGATGAATCAGAACTCCTTAGTCTGAGGTGATTCTTTGGGAGCAGATTGGTGCTGTGCTCGTACAGTGATTCTGGCACAGGTACAACGATTTTGCCATGATGGCAGGAAAAATTTGGCGGATCAGCAAGTGAAGTATTAACAAGTTTATGGAGCAAGCTCTTCATCCGCACAAATGGATGCTCAGAGCATCTACTTTGCTGTAGAGCTGTTTCTCATAGTTTCAGTAGATCTTCACACACCTAACATACAGTAAGCACTGCTACGTTTAGACTTGTTAGCTCTCCAGATCATTGAGTGTACTGGGAAACACTAGACTTACGGAGTAATGAGAATACTCACTGTTAACCTTTTGCCACGGTGAAAATTTGCCCAGTCTTTGCTTTCCATCTCTTGCCTGTTTTCTGCCCCATGACAAAACTTTCCTCTCATAACATGCCCAGAGAGCTTCTTCAGAAATCCCTTGTGTGAGTTTTTGTTACGCTTTTGGGAAGTCTATTTAAAATAAGTTAATTGGTTCTTGTTGATCTGCACATGTATTGAGACTGTTTGAATAATTCTAGGAGAGTGTTTACTTCCCATGCAATGCAGATGATGTAAGCAAGTCACTGAGAGATAAACTGTCAGAAATGGCACTGAGCGTCTGGTGCCATCTTTTTTGAAAAGTAATTTGGGCAATTAGAGCCAGCTAGTGAGGTACAGAGCTCTTGCACTTCCCATTGGCACCGATATGACTTGTAGGTGCTCAGCAACCCAGAAGCAGCTCAATCTTTGTATCTCAAGCTGGGTATCCATGCTTACAGGCCAGTTTTATGAACATGCAGCAACTCTGTTTCTCAATCTGTTACAGAGATGTATGGTAGATTTTTTTTATCTTGTTGGATATTTCACGTTTCTTAGGAATAAAGGGTTTCCTCAAATGGAAGAATCAACAGAAATCCGAAGTATTCATTTAATGTCTATGTCTGTATTTAATTTCAGTGTTCATCTTTGGATCTAGCGTAATCTTTGCGGTGTCTGATTGCTTACCTCTCACATCTCATAAATGTTCTGCTTGACCTACTAAAGCTCTGCCTGTGGCAAAGTTGCAAAACACCTGAAGAAGTACTTTATTTCCTTCCTCTTCAGGCATAACTGGAGATCTGCAAGATTTGCCTTTCCTGAGAAATATTTCATTTCACAAACCGCTCCCTTAAGCATGGGGTCAGTTTAAAAAGGGCCAGTGTTTGTAGACAAGCCATTTGTTTTCCTTTGAGTGTTTAATTTGTTTATTCCTGTTTTCAAATAATCCCCAAGCAATATAGTTCCTGTAGCTGCAATCGTCATGAATTCAAATTATTCACCTCCCAGAGGGTCAGACCTTTCATCAATGTGCCATTGGCACAAAGCAGCGAGTGTTGCATATTCATCGTCCGAGACACCGGCTAGAGGGCCTCCAAAAGCCTGACTTTTTTTTTTGTTCTCCGAGCAAGGAAAACAATCCCTTCCCTTCTCCAGTCCCTTGATAAGGGTTTCTGTCCAATAACGGTGCTCTCTGCTCTGAGGCACATTTAACTGTGAAGTTTGCAGCGGGAGAGGCTTTCCTTCAAGCTGTTAGTGTTTTATCCTGGCAGGCTCCTCGAGGTTGTTGTGAGGAGTCTAGCCAGTTGGTGAGCTTTGTAATCTAAACCAGCTGTCCCAGGCTGAGGCCCCCATTTGCATTGTTTAACATACTTAGAAAATGAAGTGTTCATTTTTAACATTCCTCCTCCAATTGGTTTAATGCTGAATTACAGAAGAGAACTAAGCAAAACCAGGTGCTTTCTCTGTATTCTCTCCAGTGTCTGAGGAGGTACAGACGGCTCCCGATCTTCTCCATTACTTGCTATTTCATTCTTTGGACTATAAATGACTGAGGAACCGAAGTGCTAGCAGAGGGTAATGTTTGGAAAAACTTTCTAGTTATTCATCAGCGCAGACTCTGGTTTTTTTTCCACCTTTCCCCAACGGTTTTGGACATGCAAGGATTAAAAAGGTAAGTGGTACGCATGAAACTTCTTTACTTACTGAAGGGAAACCTACTTGTGGAAAATATCTATGGCAGGGATTTGGTATGCCAATCCACTTGCTAAAGGCATTTGCAAAGAGACAGGATCTCAGTGGCCAGAGGTGGGGAAAGATGATCTGTCTGTTATTAAAGCTGTGCTCTCTGACGAGTTACTTCTTGATCTGTGCTTATACTCTGCGCATTAGGAACCCCGGCATCCGCAGCAATGCTGAATTGCGAGAGCAAACGATCCCACTGGCTACAGTGATTGATTTGAAGCTAATTAGTTACTATTGCAGAAGTTAATTACTAGTTTAAAATATTTTGCCTGCTGGGCAAGCTACTGTGACCAGCTGAATATAGTGTTGATAGGTTGTGCTGCATGTCTGTTAATAATTCGTGAGGGGGTTTAAGATCTAAAGTAACGAGCAAATTGAGATGGTGGTTGCAGCCAGAACACTTATGAGGCAGTAAGGTCACCCCCCCACCAAGAGGAAAGAATATATCATCTTGTAACAACAGAAGCTAAAGACCGTCTAGAAACGTATGAGTTTTGTCTGACCGGTTTTATAGGGGATTTTGTTAGCGTGCACTGCTCTGCAGTGATGTAGAACGTAGCCCAGTTGCAAGGCATGTTAACGTTCAGCTGTAACCTGCAGTATTTCCTTCTAGAGCTGTTCTTGCTATATGCGAAGTGAGTATGCAGTCTTTATACCAGTCCATGCTTTAAAATCTCTTCAAAAAGATTTGAGGAATCAATAAATGAAGTCCAAACCTAAACGGATAATGTTGTATTTTGAATGTTTTGCATCTGACTCTAAGGAAAAGTCTGTGCAGAATTTGCCTTTCCTTGTCACTCAGAAGCTGCCAACAAGCACGATCTGTCTCCGCAGCACTATGAACAACCATTTTAGGGTTTGTGTTTACTCTTCAGATCTTGTGCCTGCCTCCTCATTTAAAACAAATTTTATCAAATGTGTTGGTCACTGTGTGTGGTTTTGTCTGATGCATTTGTAGGTCTCGTTCAGCAGCTCAGTTTGCACTGGAAATCAGAGACAGCTCTAAGAGAGAAAGTTGGCAGCTCGCTTGAGTAGCAGAACTAAGGCTACCTAAAATATCCCTTGCTTCCTGTGCTGGTTTTGTGGGAGCGCATTGTACACAATTGCCATTCAGAACTAGAATCCAAGATAAGCAAGATGTGGGTCTAATTATATTGAGAAGAAATTTTATGTAAGGCAGTGGCAAAGCACTGAAATCCACAGTACATAGAAAAAAATAATCTCTTACTGTCCTTTCCTGATTTTCTGTCTGTTAGTAAATGCTTCGGGGTGGGAGCTTAGTTGACCAGAATTTTCATGCTCCAGGTAAGGAGCTCCAGATACAGCCACGGAGCTGTGTTGGCGAGGGATCCTTTTCTTTCAGTTGCAGTGAAGAGACCCAGTAGGTCCCACTAGATGCTAAGATGATACAACTGGGGAAGGCTCCAATGAAGATAGCAACTTCTAGTAGCTGATGACCTGGCACAGTGTGTCTGCTTGCAGAGCAACGTATTACTCAAGACTGAGTAAAGGGACAGAATCTGGCCCTAAGAAAATGGATTAATCTCAGATAGTCTCCTGGGGATGAAATGCGGTTTAGCGGTTAGAGCAACTGGCTTGGATTCAGGACCTCCTGCATGACATGTGTGCAGCCCTGCCAATGCGTTGCACTGTGAGCTTAGGCAGGGCCTGCGCTCTGGTTTACCCATCTGTAAAATGTGCATAATGTGCAAGAAAAACTTTGATATTCTCAAAAGAAAGGTGTCAGAGAGGGGCAAAAATACTTTATCGAGTATTACGCACTTGTTCATTAAGCATCTGCTGCATGGGGTATCATAAAAAATAGATTAGTTAATACACATGTTCAGTCTGATTCTGATCCCAGTTGCATAAAACCATAGTAAAATTAGTGACTCTGAGTCTGGCCCACAGTTTTATTACTCCCTCTCCAGAGGCCAAATTCATGTTAGCAAATCTCTGTGGAATACGCTGAAGTGTCACTAGAAATTAATTTGTCCATGTGTATTTAATTCTACATAATGAGCCTGGATATCTGAAGGTTTTCAGCCTATTTTCTATGCACGTTACAGGATACTGACTGCTTTCACACTGGCCGTCTGCCTTTCAAGCCCTGGAAAAGCACAGGTGAGAGGTGCACACAGAGATCTACGTACTGTTTTGTACTGAAGCGCTGTATGGCATGAGACTCACTGGCTAGCAGGTGAATCGGAAGCTCTGTGGTCTGGGGTTTACATGAAAAGGAAGCTGTGTGGTCTAAGGGTTTAGAGGGGAGAACGTGGAGCCAGCAGGATTCTGGAGTTGAACATGGGCTGAGCTTATTGACTCATCCTTGCCAGCTCAGCAAAATATCCCTGTAGAAACCTGGACCTCACTGAAAACCTGATTCTGCCTCTGAACTGAACACTTCTGGAAAAGGAAATAAGAAAAGGCATCCCACGAGAGCTGGGACAGCTCAGTTCTGTGGTGGGGAACTTCCACGTTTGTAAAACTTATTCATATAAATAGGTATTTTCTGTGTATAGCAGGATCTTGTCTTAGACTGTTTAATTTTGGACTGTGATCCTGAATGACTGCATCCTAGTTTTCATTTTAATTTGTGCTTGAAACCATTTTTGTTCAAGAGGCAGGGCTTTTGAGGGTGGATGGAGGTAAAGCAGTCCAGTTCTTGAAATAGCAGAAGCATTAGTTCTTTGTGTTCTTGGGCTCCAAGTGGACTTAAAATTAGGAAAAACAGTTCCCAAAGGCATGTTAAGTTTGAATTCCTAGTTGATAATCCAGATATACTCACAGTCCAGAGCTGTGTTTCTAAATACCTTTGCCAAAAGGCTCTGAAATGTACTTGTTTTTTTTTTTTTCTATTACATTGAAAATTTCCTGCACATGGCATGCTTATTGATATTTTTGTGAACATTGGATCTGTATGGGAAATGCTTTTCATGCCCCTGGAGAATTTTTGAGATGTCTTTAAGGGTTTGTTTTATAATTTAAAAAATATTGTTTCCATTGCTATTTTTATAAAATAATCTTGTACCATAAATTGATTTTGAAGTCTAAGCAAAAAGCAACTTGAAACTAAAAGATGATAGCAACAAATTCTTTCTGAAGACATTGAAACTGGTAATTTCAACAATATTGGAATCTTTTCTAGAATCAAGTTCTAGAAAGTTGTTGAAACCAGTTCTACAGTAGTTTCAGTGTTTCTGAATCATCATTTACTGTCCAAAAGAAAATAATTTTGTTGAAAACTATCTTAACTTTTCCTGATAACCTAGGTGTAGTGTCTACGCCACAGGACAGAGAAAAGAACAAAAAGTAGAATATGATGTACATTCTTTAAAACATGAGGCTGATTACGCGTTCTCCCATCAGAATATCTTGGCTTTCCGTAGCATGATACCAAAACATCTCGGAATGCCAAAATAAATGAAGGCAGAATTCTTTCATAGTAGTGGTTTTGTGTATTCATGTGTGCAAGTGGCAGGTGCAATCCAAATAGTGCCATGTGTTTCGCTTCATGTCCCCTCCCTAATTCCTGCAATGGCCCGCTTCCGCTGGCTTATCCAGCTCACCCCTTGTCTCCCATCTACAACTTACTACTTTTCCAAACATGAACCAAGTACTTTACTCCTCCACTGATTTCTTCCACAGAGTCCAAAAATAAGTGCCTTTATCATTTAACAACAACAAAAAAGGCAGAATCTTGAACACACTCTATCCCTCTGCCCTCTGGTTACTTCAGTGGTTCCCGTTTTCTGGATATCTCTTGCTTACATTCCTTAGTATAACCTATTAACTGGCAGGATCCTGTGCCTGTGAAAACTGCCTGGCCCGTTGCTAAATAGCGGGAGGCTGAATCAAAAACTAAGGAGAGCAGGGGATCATTTTAATGGGCTTCGACACAATCATCGGCAGGACCATCACTGTTTTAGAACTGCTGGGGGTCACTGATGAGGTCCTGAAGACTCCAGCTTGCAGCCCTCATAAAGACCAGCACCACAGGATAGGAAGGAACAAGTAACCTTGCAAGCCTAGAACATGTGTCATGAAAAGATTTATCCTCTAAAAATCACAAGGTTTAGTGTAAACTAAAAGCCTTACTTTTATTAAGCTTGTTATGTTTTAACTATGGCTTCAATTCAGTCAGACAGCTGATGTTGAGATATACGTACGGAATTGTCTATATGTGGTGGTTTAGAGCCTGTTAGAGAAGTTAGCTAGTTCCTTTTAACTGAGAGCCCTGTTCTGGCAAAAACAAGCCTCCAAAATAGGAGAATGTATTTCTGTGTTAACAACTGGTATGGAGACCATCGCACGTTACGTGTTGGTTACCCCTGGGGAGACGAACAGCCTGACGCTGTCACCACCTGAGGGAACTACCTTCTGAGTTAAGGGGCGGGCATATGTGCTGAGGTCTCAGGTTCATGCCTTGCTGACTGTCCTTTGGGGAAGGGATTTTATTTTGGTGTACTGTATAGTGCTGAACGATTGTACTAAGCTTAATAATCCAGATGAGCATTTGACTCTGCAACCCTCTCATTTCACAGTCACTGAGTGTCCTTTGTTTTCTCATTTTAGCAACAATGCACTAATGGGTTTGACCTGGACCGTGCCTCTGGGCAGTGCTTAGGTAGGACTTTAATTAAATCAATACATTTCAATTAGGGTTCAGAAACCTTTTTTAAGGTTCAAGAGTTTATTGAGTTAACACTGTGCTGCTGTTAGAATGTTTTAGTTGAAAAGTTCTTGCTGTGTGACAAATATGGGTGTTTGTGCATATGTATATACAAAAATATATACATATATATAAAAATATGTGTGTGTATTTACATAGCACAAGTATATACCAATTTTTGACATTGTTGAGATCCTAGTTGGCTGTCAGTGCTTCTCAAATAGCTGTGATGCATTAAGATGAGCTTGGGAGCTCAGTCTAGTTGCCAAATGACAAGGGTTGTTTACTCTCCTCTTTCTCCTCCAGACTATTTAACTGTCTTTGTTGGCAGCCTCCACCTGGAGGCTCAGATAAAGTGTACCACTGCTTCAGGGTTGAAACTCCAAGTAAACTGTTGAGACAATATAGGGAAACACGCACTTTGCTCTATAGCATCTTTTTATCAATGGCATTCAGTCTCCAGGGCAGCATCTTCTGCGTGCATTAAGGTCACCCAACAGTAAGGGAACAACCAGCAACAGATTGCTTGCCCTGTCATAGCAACCTACTGCTTCTGTGCTCCGAGAACCAAGCGAATGCTCCGTTTGGCTAAACCATTTCTAAATTTAATTCAGCAACGATCTCAATCAGAGCAAGAAAGAGGCCTGAACCACCCAGATCTGAACATCCCTAACTTTTTCTGTGGGAGGGAGCTCGGGAGTTCCAAAATCAGGATCCAAGTTTCACAGCTGGGCAAACCAAACCACCAGTGTTTGAAATCCTGATCTGCATGTTGTGGTTTGGACAGACCCTCTAGCAGGAACAGGCAGTAGCATGCTGTAGCCATGTGTAAATCAGTGTTTAAACTGAACATTTATAGAATAACAAAGCAGGCTTTCCCCTCTCCCCTCTAATAGTGAAGTAAAACAAGTAGAACACAGGATATGTTGAATATATGGGATGTTTCCTGTTTTAGTACAATCTAACTTCAAAGTGAGGCTCCACAAGGAAGGATTAGCTTTTCCGTTCAAAGAGAGTATCAAATTTTTTAGCAAAGTCTTGGGAAAAACATGTTAACTATTTTTTGATAGGTCCCATTAAGAAGCAATCACTCATTTAACTTCTGCAATTTCCTTCCAGATATTGATGAATGTCGGACTATTCCTGAGGCCTGCAGAGGAGATATGGTGTGTGTCAACCAGAATGGTGGCTATTTATGCGTACCCCGAACAAACCCAGTGTATCGGTCACCATATCTGAATCCTTATTCAAATATTTATCCACCGCCCCCAGCACCAGGCCCCGTTCCTAACTACCCTACTGTTACAAGACCCCTGATCTGTCGATTTGGTTACCAGTTGGATGAAAATAATCAGTGTGCTGGTAAGTAGCAGAAATCTTTAATCTATACTTTTATTTACATTAAAGCTTGTCCAACATTGGAGAAACAATTGTCCTGCAATTATCCTTTAGTTGTTATAACACTCAAGCCCATTCTTTTGAAGTTCAGCTACTTTTTTTAAAGGATATGAGCTCTACATTTCATATAGTCATTATTCGATGCAAGCTAAGATATGATTTAGTCCTATTATTTAATCAGGAAACCCACTTTTATGCGAGAAGTAATGTTTTTATGAGATAAACAACCATCTGAGGGCAGGTGATTTGTCAGTGCATCAAAAGCATGCCTTTTGTGCTTATGATTCTGTCCTTGAGAGAGAAGATAGATGGCCCATTTGAAGCATTAGGTGGGGACTGAGGAAATCTTGATTCAGTTCTTGGCAGTATGTGACCTTGTTCAGATTCCTGGACCTCGGTCTTCCTCCTTTAAATGGTATAAATAAGAGTTGTTTCCTGCCATGCTTTGCGTTCTTCACTTAGACTGTGAGCCCTTTGGAGCTCATACGTCGCTCTAGAGGGTGATACACAACTGTTAGCACTACCGTTGCTTTAGTGACTGTAGACTTCAGCTGAGACTGGAACTCCCTTGTTCGAGGCACTGCGCAAACACACAGGGAAAGAATCGCTGCCCCAGCAGAGCGTTGACATTGTCTTAGCACCTTGATATTCCCCAATCTCCAATACAAAAACCAAAAAACCCAATGAAAAATTTCTTGTGTTGCTAGTTTTTCTACTTTTGCATCTTCTGCTAGATTCTGATTCCACTTATTTCATTTTATACTGTGTTTAACTTGGATAGAAGCTGCTCCTGTGTTACTCAAATTTAAGGGAGATTTAGATTATATCCCTTTGGTTTGCTTGCTTTTGATAATGTCATGTTATGAAGGAATGGAGAGAAAATTTCTGAACTAAATTCAAGTAAATTCCACTGGCCAAAATATTTATTTTGATGCCAAACTTGGAATCAAGAGATCAGGATCAAACTGATCATCGGCAGCTGCTCTGGGTAAATAGTGGAGATGTAGCCCACAGGTCTACCACAAAGTTAATCTATAACCACTACCTATTTCTGTATCTCAGTTGTCCTAATGGTAAAGTGAGTTTTTTATCTGTTATTATATGTAGCTAATTGTCTGAAGGTTTTTATCAAAATCTTTTTTGAAACAGGACTGGTCTTTGACAAGAAAAAAAGCCCAAACTGCAGAAGATATGAGCTTTCAATAATTTTGCCTGTCTATAGACTAAAGAACTGCATTTAACTCAGATCTTTTCTTTTTGGAATGCTGCTGCAGAACAACACAAGAGCTAAAACTGACTTGTCTTTTGGGCTGATTCTGCCCTATTGTCTGAAATTTCTGGCAGGACTTGGTTTCAGATGATGTACTTTGTTTGCTTCCCTAGTGAGGAGACCGTGATGCTTCACGGGAGCTGTGAGAGTCTAGATTTAAATTCAGCTACTTTGGGGCACATTTTTCTGTATTTGAATCATTGCCATCATTATGTTCCAAGGTGTGAAAAACGTATTTTTTAACCAGCACTAGTAGTAATACCTACTGGAAAATTAAAGAAGATGGTTTTTTAATGAGGAGTTTTGAAATCCTGGGATAACTGATGAGTTTGCTGTAAAAATAAGCACGTATACTATCCAGTCTTTTGAAAATTGCAACTAGTCCTTCTGATCTTAGCAAACTGATCAACCTCAGGTATTTTATCTACTGATTTGTAGGCTTCCAGGAGAGTTTTCATTTTGCTAGCTTTGATGTAGATGAATCCGGAAATGGGGCAGTTAGTGGAAAAGAAGTGCTGAAATCAAGGGGGAAATGAAAGCCCTGTATTTCACTCTCTCTGGCCTGCTGCACGCAAACCATACTAATCAAAACAGGTGGATTTTGGAAACTTTTACAGTGGACCTTCCAGCCTGCAAAGGGTCTATATGTTCCTATCCAAGCTGGCAGAAATGGAAGGACTAAGGCTTTCTTCAGTCAGGGCTGCTCATTTCTGTCACTTTAACTTTCAAATATGGGAATTTAATTGTGAGGGAATGTTTGGTGAATAGAGACATTAACAAGAATAGATGGGAAAGAACCGACTGCCATTTGAGTACCAGAGTTAGCTGGAAGCAGTTTTTGAAAGTCTACATCAGGTTTGAATTTGGGCAGATGATGGATCATATTTGTGTTAGAGGAAGAAAAACAAAAGTTAAAGAAAACAAGACCTGTCAGAGCAAAAGGGTCTCTGATGGGGTTAGATTTCATTTTTCATTTAGTGAAATCCTCTGGAGACATTCACTGTCTTGAGGCAGTATTTCTTTTCGTGTCTGCGTGCCCTAGGATGGAAAGTGTGAGCACCAAGGGAAGCGGTATGAGCACATGCCTCACTGCGGTGGTGGTAGGAAGGACTGATCCCCTGTTTCCAGGACTTCTGGTGCAGTTAACAGGGGTGATGTGCAGCCTTGTGCTTGAAGGCCTTGGAAATGAGGCACCAGGGAACCCTGACAGGATCCTCAGAAACCACCAAAATTTCACACAGGTCATTTAAGAAAGTCTGAATTGCATGAGTCATGGCTCCATTTATTATAAGTTAATTATAAGCATTGCATCATGTTAATAGTATTTCAGTTGCTTTGTGCTTCCCTGCTTTTCAGCATGCTCTTAGGATATGAAGCCATTCAGGGGTTAAGTTTGTGGTGGAATGGTTGAAAAGAGTAAACTGGAAGCTATTTTGCCCAGTAGCTGAGCCACTATATAACTTACAGGTTTGTTATGTTGGTGTTCTGGCACCGCCTTCCAGCACCTTCTTTCCAAATAAAATTAGTCACAGGTATTTCCACTAGAGATGATGAGACTTTTCGCTATTGACTTCAGGGGAACCAGAGCTATCCTAATGCCAAAGTTTCTTAGAAATCTCCAATTTTTAACAGAGTACACATTTTTGTCTGGTCAGGTATGGGGTTACAGGTCTGGGCCACATTTTCTATAGCTAGGCCAACAGAAATCTTTACTTTCCCTTTGAACTCCAGTCAAAACAGCTTATTAAACACGGGAACCTTCCCTCGGAGATTTGCAGCCTCAGCTTTGAAGCACTGAGCTTGTTCAAGAGACTTCCGAAGTGAAACAGGACAAAAATTTGATCTGAAAGCTGTATGAGACTTAACAAGCTCTTTTTTTTTACCACCACCCCC